CCAACGTAGTCGTCGCCACTCGACGCCGCTGACGTTGTCTAAATTTAGCTGCACTTTTTGCCGCTATTTTGCTGCAGTTGCTGCAGCGCTTACAATGCTACGCAAAAATATGCGAAATTGCCACAACAAAGCCAACAACAACAACAGCAATAAGAACAAGAGCAAAATATTTGGTGTAATTATTTTTGATTTTGTGAATGTGTTTCGAACAGCATTTAGAAATGCATAAAAGCTTGTTAATTGAATTGTACAGGGACAGCTAACAATAATATGTATTCTATATGTAAAAGCATGTCTCGAATCTTGGCTGGCTAATTGGGCATTGGAATATGCCCGACAACAGATCTTGGGAATTGTGTCACTTATTCATTATTCAATTAATTGCATTTAAATCATATTTGATTCAATTTCCTGTGTGTGTGTGTTTAAACAGTTTAATAATAAATTGAGTGCAGCACTGGGCAACATTTTAACATGTTGACTATTTCTGATCCACAAACAACACTTGACTGCTCTGATTTTGGCATTTCCACTACAATATAATTTAATTATTGTTGTTGATTGTTTGTTAAACTGGAAGTTTAGTTGAAATCCTAAAGATTATAGCGCTCAATTAGCGCCCACCTATAAAAATAATTTATTTAAAATCATTTTTCAGCTGATACAATTTACGTACTAAGTTAGTCTTAGTATTAAAAGCTGTTGCAAATGCTCAACTAGACCAAATGTAACATTTTAGCTTCAGTCCTGTCTTATCTATAGCTCAACAATTACAATGCCCCTTCCTTTATCTTGGCGTCCACCTGGACCGTAAGCCATCTGGAGGTCCCAATTCACAGTAACCAGAGCAAAATGCCTGTGAAGACTCCAAAAGCGAATTGCTATTAAAACCCCACAGCAAACCACACACCTCCACGATTAATCAAAACGATGCTGCCGCCCATCTGAAACTACGCAGTCCAAGTCTGAGGCACTAGCTCCATCGCATAAGAAGAGTACAAGCCGAGGCGGGGTAGCCGGCTTCCCATGATACGTGACAAACGACGCCGTCGAACGCGATCTCCGCCTAACAAAGGTCAGAGACCAAATAAATTTCTTTAGACGCTACGCCAACAAACTGCAGCGTACGCTGTTGCCTGGGTCCTGGCTGAACCCATCAGAGTCGCATCCAAAGGTCACACCCCTGCAACCTACCTACAAGGCGAATCACATGAATACTTCACTTTATTAAGCGTTGTCCTCAATCCCTATCATCGTAAATATCCTATGTAAATACCACTCAATTTAAAAACAATAAAAGCTACTAGAAGTCGTAACTATAACTTTATCCCAGTGTTTCGTTTGGTAAAGATCATAAGGCACCGATCGACTCCAGAGCTAACTAACATATATAAGACATTTTATATTTATACCATTTAAATGGATATTTAAAAACCTATGCATACACAATTCAAAATCTTCTGCATCCTCAATAGAAATGTTATTTCGTCTTCTTGTTGTATTCGTTAAATAAACAAGTAGGTAAAAGTTCAGCTAAGCGATTCATTGGTTACCGATTCATGATTTCACAATGCATATTCCATCATAAATCATTGCGAAGGAGCATAGCTACAGTTCCTCCTATTCGTATGCCCATTGCAAGTTGTCGACCTCAGTTTTAATGAAATGCTGCGGTTAGTTTACCTCAAGCTGTAGCTCTGGCTCAGTGAAGACCACAGCCAATCGCTGGCTTCAAAACTTTTAATGAAGCCCGCCTGGTAACGATTGCCAGACACCAATCTGAAATGCCAAGCGAAGGTGCGATGGCAACTACTGCTACAACTGCTGTGTGGGTTTTGGGGTATTTTGCTCAACGCTAATCAAATTAGAATACTCAGGCAGGCACACACCTTCGAGTGGATATTGTCAGCGAGCTGCCTTTTGCGGTCAGCCAAACTTTGTCGAAAGGCAACGTCTTGCATATTACTTATCATTAATTATTTGCCGCCCCAGAGTTGAGCATAATATTTATTTCAAATTTTAATGAGCAAGCGACAGCAGTCAAAATGGCTTTCAAGCAGCAGCTACAGCTTCTGCGGTTGCCTTGACAAATCGCAGATATGGTGGCAGGCATGCCACAATATATTGCCAACTTGTGCGGTATGCAGCAGCAACAATAAATTCCACAGAGGCAACTAAAACGCACGCAGCAGCAGCTACTTAAGTGCAAAAGTGTAGTATACTTTTCTGCTGCACTTGCAGCAAAGACGGCACGTGATTGATGTGGCATGAACAGCCAGAGAGACGGGTGGTAGAGGCGGGAGAGGAGTCAAGGAGGTAAAGTAAGCAAAAGAGCAGCCAAAAAAACGTTTACGTTCAGTGTAGCATAGCTTACATGCTCTTTACATGGCCATTAGATATTTTATACGAGCATATCTCAAGGAATAAAAAATAGCTCAACGATAAAAGTTTTCGTTTCAAGAGAAAACAGTGTCTTTGTCACTTGATTCCTTGGATTTGATATGATAAATTGAACGTAGCTTTACCTTACTTTTGATTGCACGAATGATAATCTGTTGGAATATGGCGGATAGTGGTATGTGCCTTGGCAAGATTTCACAACATTCAATATCTTTAGCTAAATATAATCTATCAATCAAACCTATGCAAAAGTATACTGTCTAAGAAATTTTTAGTTGAATATAAGCTAGCACTCAAAAAATAACCTGCCAAAGATATATTTCAGAAAAAATGGATACATAAATATAAATAAAATGAACTTGATTTCAAAATATTAAATGTTCGCCGTAAAATATAACCTACCTGTCAATAGCTTAAAAAATCGCATACCAAAACTAAATTTGAAAAAACTATATATAACAAATTTAAAAGTAATCTATATTAATAAACTATAATAATAACAACTAAGAGGTTCTAGTCGGGAGCTCCCGACTAGGGGATACCCTGAACCCTCTTCTTCCAACATCAAATGCATACATATATTTTATTTTAGAAGCTATATGTCAAGTTTGGTGAGTAGCTCTTATTATTTACCCAAATTGCCCAAAAAACAGGATATCGATATCGATTGCTTGGAAACGGAGCAAGTTATCGATTATCGGAAACAAACTCGATCTGCGCTGGAACTAGGAGCATCTACATCTAAATTTCAAGTCTCTAGCTCTTATAGGTTCTGAGATCCTTGCGTTCATACATACGGACAGACGGATAAGAGAAATAGAATATACAAATATATGCATTTGATGTTGGAAGAAGAGGGTTCAGGGAATCCCCCAGTCGGGAGCTTCCGGCTAGAACCTCTTACTTGTTTTCTTTATTATTGCATCTATTTTATTTCCGTTTAAAGCGCCTTTAATTGGCATTATTTTTTTAAAAAGGCAGTACGTATATTTTTTGCATTGTCATTAGCTGGAATTTTAATTTTCCATCATTTTTGGCATGGCAACGACTGCCAAAGATTTTGGGAAGCTGCATTTATTTGTGCAACGGCGGAAGGTCGTCGACGGCTGTCAAAGAAATAACAAATAAAATAAAAGAAGGGAAATCAACAAAGTGCGCAAGTTGCAAATCAAAAGATGTACATGCCAAAAATAAGGGCAAAGGGCAGAGAGAGATGGAGAGAGAGAGAGAGAGAAAGCATCAGATAAATGAAAAGAAAAGCATTTGGTGCAGGAAACGATATGCAATTCTTTTCCTCTTCGACGCGGCAGCGGCGAGTGGCAGGGGCCTGTCAGGGACAGCACGAAATTGGCCAATTTACATGCGTTTGTGTTTTTTAGCCAAGAAGAAAACGAGGATTGAACTTCAATTCAAACTTTGAGTGTGTGTGTGCATGACTCTGTGTGGGTGAGGGTTACGAATATAAAGTGGTTTTGCAAATATTGCAGCTCCTTTAACTGTGCAGCTGCTGCTGCTGCGTTCAAATACCAGCAAAGAGTTTAAGCCCAGCCAAGCGGTGCACTCAACTGGCATTAAGAGATAGAGAGAAAGGTAGAGAAAAGGAAAGCTGAGCAGGACAGACTCTAATAATGCACAGAATGAGTTGTTTCAGACAACGATTCAAAGCAGCTTCAAATATGTGGAGAACCAGCAGAGCAGGTGCAAGTCCTGATGGCTTATTTACAATTTAAAGGCATTTTGTCGAAGTCATACGCGACGTATGCGTAATGCCACTTAACAGACATTATAGCTTACATACGGCTAATAAGCTTATCAAATGCTACGAACTGTAACTAACGATGACTTGCGCTCAAAAACGTTTAATATCGTTGCAGTTGATGGGCTTAAGCACCATAGCAACAACGGGTCGTATGTGTAATGCGAATTTTCATATGTAAATGTAAAAATTGAAAATCCGATTGATGAGAAGCTTTAAAGTTTGCAGCACTAAAGTTTCGAACTGTAGATAACAATTGCAATTCGCAGAAAGGGTAAAAATGTAAACTAAGCATCTGACTCAATAAATCTCTGGAAACTTTAAAGTTAGATGTAAAACAGGTTTTTCTAGGTAATCTAAAAACGAGCTTTAATATAAACAAACATAACCACACAGATTCAGTAGCTGTTAACTGATGTAACAAGACTTCACAATAAATTTTTATATTACATGTCTTTTTTTTAGTTTCAATGGAAACTAAACTTTTTCAGCCGAACTACATAAAAAACTCATCCATATAAATGATAACATTTTGCTAATTACATGTCCTGCACGTCACAAATAATTTAAAAGTTGCACAAAAAGTGAAAGCCACACACTTGCCATATAAACTGTGTGTAGACAGTAAAAAAATAAAAAACCGGAAAATCAAGGAAACAAATGAAAGGACATGTCAACGACAGGCAGGATGGGAACACTTCGCTCTGAGCGAAAAAGCATTTAACTATTTTGCTGGAACAATATTCAATTTCCGTCTGTCTAATAAGTTTTTGGCTAGCACCACACACAAACACATCCAAGCACACTTACACACACGCACACGTACACTCTCTCTCACACTCACCAATGTTTTGGAGCCGTGGCATGTAATAAGCCAAGTCCAACTAGCATTCCTGTCCCTCTGCCTGCCCGTGTCCCGACTGCGTATCTTTCCAGGCAAGTTCTGTAAAGCCCGACAAAGTTCCATTACTCAAACTCGTACAGCGACGCACATTTTCCTTTAATTTCCTTTTTAGTTTCCAACGCCAACTAGCTCGTCACAAAAATGCCGGCTCTTCTGCTCTGCGTTCGTATTTTTTATTCTAGCCCGATGGTGCTTCGAAATTGTCAGCTTAAAGTATCGATGCATATCCTCAAACTTTAATGAATACCCGCGAGGCTATGCAAACAAAATGGTAACAGCCAAAGGGCCATATAAAATGTATTCGGGTAACCAAGTTTAAGCACAACGAACGCGTTCATTTGGCAACCAAATGGATGCCGAGACCCAACCAACGCGACAGCGGCACAGAGGCAGGTGCAGACTTTTCTACAGCTGCGGCAAAATATTGTTGAAGGATTGTCAATGTTTCAAACAACTCGGTACGGTTAAGAAAACTTTTTTTTAGCACAAGTTCATGCGCAGAGGGAAATCTAGATATTCAGATTGTTTAGCAAATTAAGCGAGGGGTAAGACTAAAATATATAGAGCGTAAATATAAATATATATACGATATATTTGTGTTCTGTTAGGGACTTATGATCTAGGCTTCACATAATTAATTTTAATAATAGTTTATATATATTGGGTTAACATCGACTGGAGAGAGAGAAAGGCTATACATCCATCTACCTATAAAGAAATATCCTTGTGTATCAAATTGTAATTATATTTATATATTTATCTCTTTTATCCTGCTATCCCTCTTTCTATTTTCTCTCGCTCTCTGTCTGTATCTCTTTCCTTGTCTCCAAAATCAAGCGTTTACGCATATAACAAAGTGTACAGAAAATTGCCACATAAACGCATTTGCTTTATGATTGCCATAGAAATAGAGTGAGATGGTGCTGGCTGCCCACGTTCTGTGGTAGGCGACGCCCACGCGACGGTAATGCAAATAGTATGGCCCAGACTTGGTTAGCTATCGGTTGGCTTGCAATTGGAACTGGCATTGGGAATGGTGGATGGGTAACAGGGTATCGAGTGCTCTATGCAACATTGCGGTTGCCTTACCCCCAAGAATGCCATGGAAATGACAGACGATGTAAAAGAGTTCATTAATATTGCAAGGTGGACGGGCGACAACAGCAACGACACCGACACCGTCAACACAAACATCAGGAGCAAAAGGAGCAACAGCAACAGGAACGAGGACAACATTTTGACTGTGTGCGCACAATTATTTTGTAATTTGTCATATTTTCTAGGGCTGGGCGTCAGTAGCGAAAGGCCGCCTACACCGAGGCGCCTTTGTCCAAAATTTTCAAGTAGCAAAGTCTCGGGCTCAAGTGGCTCGCCGGCCTACTAAATAGGAAATGCGGGCTCGTTGGTTCGCGTTGAGGATGGCAGGCCAGAGGGACGGGTGCGGGGGTTTTTGTTGTATCCTACCAGCCAGCTGCATAATTGTTTGTATTTTACGCTTTACATGAAAGCTAAGCAAATCTTTTGTTATGCACTGTCTACGGCAATAAGGCTGCGCCTCCTTTAAAAAAAAAAAAAAAAGAGAAGAAAAAAATCACGTCCCTCTATATCATCTCTGGTAACCCTTCTAGGCGCTTTTGTTGGCCTTACGCTTTGTGTGCATATTCTAAACATGGCAGCGCTTGGCGGCTACCTCAACCTACTTTCGGGGCCAGACTGCGTCGTCGCCGTTGTTAATACCTCTATAGTGACTGCCTAACCAGCACACCCAATGCAGCAAAGCCAATCTGCTCGCCCAGTCCAGCAGCGAGAGCCACCCACCATAAGTCCCCAACGTGCAGCAAGTCAACAGTGAGGCAGTCAGTCAGGCAGTTTTGTTGTTGTGCATATTTACCTAGCGCGCTCTTCATCGTTCACATCATCTGCAGCATTAACTGCCAGAGAGTGGGTACAATGACTACATCATTAGACTGGAAGCACAGGAGATGGCAAGCTGTAGAGCTGTGAGTCTAATGTTGTCTCCCTTGACTTGGCTTAGTTCGTGTACATGTTTATTTGTTTTTTAATTATGTTCAATGTCTATTCGGTATATTTTAGTGCAAAGTATTCACAAGTACAACCCCTTCTCCTTTGTAGAAAGAGTATTGAGATTTCGCCATGTTTCTGTTATTTATCATTCGTCATAATTTTCATATGCAGCAGTTGGTCCACGCAATTCCTCGCCTCCCAGACGACCACAGACTCTTGTCCGTTTCTTTGGCTCGCTTTCGCTACATTTTTTGTTGTATTTTTTGTATGCATATATATTTTTTTTCTTGTTTTTTGTTAAATTACATGCACATATACACAGTCAAATATTTATTTAAAACTTATGCCCGAGGCCTTTCATTACTGTGCACGTAAAAATATATATTTTCTGTTCTGTGCTCTGTAGTTTCCTTCTTTTATTTTTTATGTTTTACTTTTGATATTTTGCCTGTGCTAAAAAAAAGCATGTTGCTTTGTTTGGCCGGTTCGTCTCTTTTAGTGGCAACCGTACCATGATATTGAGTAAACTTTATTTTTTTATATTTTTTGTTCTTTTTTTTTCAAATGCGTTTTGTTACTTCCTGTTAAAATCGGAGCTTCGTTCGTTTACTTTAACGTCCCGCTAAGTTAATTTTTTTACTCATTTCCATATTTTCTAGTGTCTAGCAGAGTTATAATTAGTCGCCCTTGTTGTGCATGTCCTTGTATGCGCCCATTGTCCTGTCCGGAGTACAATGCGTTATGACGTAGTGAAGCCAGAGCAAAGTTGTTGAACATTTAATGGGATTTACCCACCGAATTGTTTTAAATTACCATACTCTTTGCTAGCTTCTAGCAGACCAACGGAAGCAAAAAATGGAAGTAGCTTGAAGTGTCGAATAGCTGAAGAGTTAAAGGGTCAGTATACACTGACAACCATTGAGATATTAATTAAAATTATGCAGAGTTTGGAGCTAATAGATTTTCTTAGGAATCAATCAAATGCCACTGTCGGTTGGTAATTGATATTTGCTTTGACAATGTTATGTTGACCATGGGAGGGAAAATTAATTAGAAGCATAGCTCGGTATATGAATAGAAATTGAAATAGAGTTAGAAAAAAATTATCATAAATATCGCTGGAAGTTCTATTCTTGTTCAATTAACAAGCATCGATAGAGATAGGAGATGGGAACAAACATTTTTCAGCAGAATAAAATTGAATAAACTTTTAAGTCCTTTTAAAATGATTAAATTTACTTTTGCATATTTTCTGTTCAAAATGTACTTTTATAAAGTCTTGTAGTTATGTTTTCCGAGGTTCTTTTGTGAGCGAAATGCATATATGACATATTTATATTTCAAGAAGAAGTCCATGAAATATCTAGCGAAAATATCTAGCCAGAAAGCACGCAGACATAGAGTGCAGTGCAGTCCTCAGCCAAACAGTCGACTCTAGTTTCAATCTCAGGCCAGGACACTTGAACTCCTACATTGCACTTGGGTTAAGGAGGAGACAATCGTTCGCAACTGTACTACACATTTTCGAAGGTGAAATAAATTGTACAAAGGTGACACTGGAGTGTCTGGCCCCATTCGTTTACTCTACGCGCGCTCATTAAATAAATTGGATTATATTCCAAGACATGTTTATTCATAAGCTAGGCCCAAAGGGGATTGCCCAAGTCGACACTAACTTTACAAATGTCTATCAGTTGAAAGTAGAATATAATGCCTAGCTCAACTTAAAAACGAGAAAGTAAGGATATATTCCACACGCCGAAAATGTAAAACTCTTGTAGACATTTGACTTACGAATAGTGAAGCTCGTAAGTGAATAATGAAAATACTTATTTAGAAAAAACAGAATATTTTGCTATATAAAACTCAACTTTCGTGCGATTCTTCCCATAGTGCTAAAAAATATAGTAATGCAACATTGAAAAGATTTGGCTACATATAAACTTGGTCAAGATATCTTGATAAACATAAAAGCTACTCATACAATAACTTAATTTTTCACTGATCGTTCCAATAGCAGCAATAAGATATTCAGCCCGAATATATGAGAAACATAATGAAATTCATAAAAAATATCTTGAAGATATTTGAAAAACTTTTCTTTTTCCATACAATTTCGAACGATAGTTTCTAACACATGTACTACCTGCAAAAGATGGAAGGACCTATGCCAAGTTTCAAGAAGATAGCTTAGAAACTGAAAGACTAGTTCCCATGGAAACAGACGGATATGGATATATTAACTGGGCTGTTGATGCTAACCTAGAATATATATATTCTATGGGGTTGGAGATGTCTCCTTCTATGCGCCACATAATTCATGACAAAATTCCATTCGTGAAAAAAATCAATTCATAATAAAAATTTACTTGTTTTTTTATAAATAAAATCTAAATAAAGTAAATAAAATCTGTATAGAATTGAACATCGAAAACTCACCTGTTAAAATTATTGTTTGATTTATTCACTTATGTGTATTTTTCAGTAATTGTTGACGCTAATCGAATTAACGAATTTTGCGTTTAATTATAAATTCTTTGGTTTAGTTCACTAATTGGTTTTGGTTTACTGTTAATTGTTTTCGTTATTATCCCGTTTGATAATTTGGGCGCCAAAGTACAGTCAGCAAACACGCACTTACACACATATATGCATTTGGTCACACTGACACTCGCTGCCACTTTTTTGCACTCTCTGTCTGTCTCTGTCTCTCTCTCTCTCTATCTCCCTCTCGCTCCAACAAAAGCACTGTTCCTTTTTGGGTGCGTGTTTATTATGACGTTTGTTGCAGTTCGGCGGCGTCTGTCGATTGCCTCTGGGGCTGGTAGTTAATGCAGTTTGTTTGTTTGGCGACGTTTATTAGATTGAGCGAGGTGTAGTGTGAGCATGCATAGGCGTTGAGCAGACTGGATATTTGGCTGTGTGGCCAGACTCCAATTTGGTTGGCGGCTTAACTGTTGTTTTTGGTTTGTTGGTAATGTGTGAAGCGCACAGAGGACATACACAACTTGACTGAGCGAAACTGCACAAATAACTGAATTGAAATTTCGCCACACCAAACACTGTGTAAGGGCAAAT